CACACACACACACACACACACACACAAAACAGCATGTGGAGACCACGGCTGGGGCACCCTGGCCTTGCACCTATCCAGTTTCTCCAGGGTGCTTGAATTTCCCTGCGCAGCAGTGGGAAGCTGATCTGACTGCGGCTCCAGGGCGCCTCTGAAGCGAGCTCCAGGGGCTGGCCTGGGGCGACATGCCCAGGGACAAACCCCCTGGGACATTTCAGCAAGCCCTGCAGTTTTTAGTCGGAGAGGGCACAGGAGGCTGCAGGGAGGCCCAGACCTTTGCACACCAGCCTCAGGATTGCTCCGTTCGTGTTTTCATGGTTCTTTGTTTCTGTAAATCAAGCAGAGAAATCTAAACCGGGACATAATTCCCTTCTAACAGCGTATCGGCTTGAAGACACAGAGGAGCATAGCAAGCCAGAGGCCTGGGGCCTGCTCCCCCACCTCCAAACTTTGGAAGCAGTCGCTATTTAAGATGGGGCCTGTGCTCTGCAAAATGGCTGCTGGCCTCACAGTGGTCTGAATGGAAAAGCAGCCTGCGGCAACAACATTTCAGTCATACAGTGTGTGTGAGTTTGTACATGAGACCCCCCCAGTCCTGTCGTGTGGGCCACCACAGGTTACGGGGTGATCCCCCAACCCCAAGCCATCCAGCCCTGCAGAGCTGGGGATCCCCTTCCTCTCTGCCCACCCCACCTGCCCTCCTCAGAGCCTCCTCCTCCTCCTGCAGCCCAGCCCAGCGCTGCTGCCTTGCTGCCTCTCTGCAGTGTTGGCTGGGAGAACATGTGTTGGTAACCCAGCACGAGCTGTCGGAGGCAGGTTTCTTGGGGATATCATACGTCACTGCAAATGCTTACCTGCAGCACTGCTCTTCTGGCTTCTTTTGGGTTTTTTGCCCCCTCTCTTTTTTCGGAGGTATTAAAAGCACGCTGCTATTGATACCTAAGATGATGCCCACCCTGTTTCACAAAGCTGTGGTCAGCCAGCGGTGTCTGTACTCCCTTCCCTCTAGTTTTTCCTATATAGGAGCACTGAGGAAAGCTAATAGGCTCAGGTAATTTTGTCCTATAGAGCAGAGAATTATGAAAAACCATAACGTGCTTGAATCAAAATGACAGACCATGAAGTAATGTTTTTTCACTTTACACTGCCTGCCCTGCCTGACCCAACTATCAGCCGAGCTGCCTGCCACAGTGATTATTTCACCTGCCACAATGAAAATCTTTGTTGGATGCAGCAAAGTCTTCAGTGTTAAACTCCAGCCTGCCTTGGAGATGAGCAGGATTTAGCTAGGGCTCAGCCTGTGTGGTAGCCCCAGCCACCCGCTGCTTCACCCAGGAGCTTGTCACCTCAAACCACACCACATGCTTTTCCTGTTCGAGGGGAAGAACAACAGAAAACGCGGGTTAGTTTCAGCACAGATTGTCCACAGGGCAAATTTACAGCTCTGTCTGCAAAGCACAGCCTGGAAAATGCTGAAGGCAGACAGACAAAAGCAGTACCAAGTGAAAAGCCAGGCATTTTCACCCCCTCTCTCCATGATGTACTGCTTGAAACTATTGACCAGCACCTCAGCCATCCCTTGGTGGATGTGCCAGCACCGTGGTTCTGTGGCCAGTACACATCATTTGCTCACAGCGCATAGGCGGTAGCTCACTGATCTGGCAGCAGGTTCATCCTAGGGAAGGACGGGTGTTACTGGGCTCCCAGAGCCACCTCCCACCTCTGCTGCCTACTTGGCCCTGCACCTCACCATCAGAGATGTGTTCAGTAAACCTGCTGGCACCAGCTCCATCCAACATCCCACTGGAGGAGGACGATATCAGCAGTGCCTGAAGTGGGGACAAGCCCCATAGCTTCACAGGGCATCCTCACTTTCTCTCTTTTATGAGTGAACAAAACCATGGGATTCAAACAGGTGGTAGCTCCAGGTGCTTTGACATCTACATCCAAATGTTTCACCCTGGATCCCACCCCAAACTTGGTCATTTGGTGAAGCTGCACCCAGGTGGGTCAGGAGGCAGCAGTGCTCCCAAGCTTTGCCGTCTCTCCTTGGGCTGGCTGAAGAGAAAGCAGTGTGAGGAAAAGTTGTCTTCCAGAGGTCATCTTTACATCAGAGTGAATTCTGGGTGCATCCACACCCATATGCATACATATGCATACATGGGAGTTTAAAAGGCATTGCATACTGTGCAGTAAGAAAAAAAAAACAAAACACAGTTGAGTGCAAGTAGGCTTTGCAGGAACTACTTATTATCAGATATAAAAATGTGGGATTTAATCAAAGTAAATAAGAGGCTTTCCATATCAACCACAAAAAATACATCAGGCTATCTGTCAGGTCTTATTCTCTGGGGTGGTAAGACACTGCAAAGGACTTAAGACATTCTCAGATAAATCAGTATCTCCAGTATTTCAAGTATGTGTTCTTCAAATTTTCCTTCCAACAACAGTTTTTGTCTGACAGCTTTGCAACTCCGACTCCTTTTCTGCTGTATGGAAGTTTTCCATCAGTCTGCTGGAAGCAGAGGCCCTGCTCTGCCGAAACACTCTAGCAGGTGCTGAACTTTATGCATTTGAATAGCTCTGCTGAAACCAAAAGGCCCCACTGTCCAGCTTTGGTGGATCAGGGCTTCATTAAATCGTAGGAAGCTGCACTGGTGACTGACGTAAACATGGCAGCACCCAGCCCTGCTCCTCTGCTCCCACACTGCTGCTGGAATGCCTGAAATGGCTCCTCAGGAAACAAGAAGTCATAACCACCGTGTGCAGCTCATGTCCATGTCTGTGTTAACAGGATGAGCTCTGACCTTGGAAAAAATCCTAATTACAGCTTTCATGCATTCTCTGCCATCGTGATTTCTGTTCCTTCTGTACACTCTTAAGGGTCGCAGCTTTTGCTTTGCAAACTCCTGAAAGCAACAACTTTGTCTGCAACTATCTGCATACATGCCGAGCTGCAAGAGACTTTCTCCACCATTTGTCTCTTCTTTAACACAGCTCTGTTCTGCTCATCTTTTCTCACTTCTTCTCCAAAGGGAAAGTGACAGAGTCAGCCACAACGTGCCAGCAAGTGATGTGAGACAGAAATCCATAACCATCCCTTCCCCATATGCCTTCTATGGTCTTAGATAATTAGTTGAAAGAATATTTCCTCAATAAGGCTACAACAGAGGAAAGCAGCATATGAAGAGTTGTAACTAGAACTGAGGAGAATTAATTTTGACAGAGATTTTATTGTCTTGGGTGAAAAAATGGTTCTTCTGTTGTTGCGAAACAATGCTGCAGTTGGGGTTGAGTTTCTCAAGTAGTTTTGATCAGCTATTGGCATTCAGGGCTTGTTTCATGCAACCGATGGCCAAGGAGGGAGCAGTTGGGACCTCACTGAGGTCAGCAGGGAGGCGGAGGTGGGGACTCGTGAGGTCCAGTCCCCCCTTTCCACCTCTGACTGGGAGAGCGGCACACTCCTGCTTTCCTTGTTTGTTCTTCTCTTTGTCGTGGCTGGGTAATTAAGTGTTTTATGCCAAATGAACAGCTCGTGCAGGAAGGGTTGAGAGACCTACCTCAGAGTTACCAAATGACCTGAGGAGATCCTAAGTCAAGTCTTTGCTCTCAACGTGAAGAATGGCAGGGAGCAATGTGAACTCTGGTGCCCTTTCCTCTGAAGCACATCTCCCAGCCATCAAATTATAAAGAAATCTCAAAAGAGTAGATTTGGCTACTGGGATCATTTGGATGAAAAAAGCTTTGCAAAAACCTGACTCCCTTCGCCAGGAGAGGCATGTAGGGCAGTGATTCTGTGCCACTATGGGCAACTCTGTGTGTCTGCTCTCCTTGGCTATTAAGGAAGACTGACTTCAAAACAAAGGTCTTTTTTGACTACAAAGGTATAAATTTCTATGCTATTTATCCCAGCTATAGATTGCTTGTGCAGTATTACAAGCCAAACATCCGAATCTGAAAGGTGAAACACGGTGATGATTGACTCCATTAGCCCAACAGTTCTTTTTTTGTTGCTGGTATTTACAAAAAATACGCACAGGCTATTCAAATTTGGTTTTGATAGTTAATGCACAAGTTTATCAGAGAGAGAGAACACATCCTGTGCTTGTATCCACATACAGTGTTTGTTTACACTTTTAAAGCCTGTTTACTGACCCTAGCAAATAATATTTCAAAGAAAGCTGCTCACAGGTTAAGCAAATGCAAAGCGATCTGAAGACGTTATTTAACAAGGGAAGTGACTCACCACCGTAATGACAAGGAAGCCTCCACCAGTGAGCAGGGATGCCAGGGCTGGAAACCCGGGGGGAGGGAGGAGTCCTGCCAGTGTGGAGCAACGTGGTGCCGCGCAGTAGCAGGGAGATCAGGTTTGCAGCATCCATGGCTGTGCCTCAAAGACTGAGTGCCATTTTAGAACCCTGAGTTGTGAACAGGCATTTTTGGATGGCGCAGGTTTTTCTCCTCGGAAGATTTTGCTGTGGAGATCCCCCCGTGTGCCTCTACCTGTCAGCAAAGCTGTGCCATGTGGGGCAGAGGCACAGGGGGCAGAGCACAGAGGTGCCCATATCCCAGTGCAGGCCAAGCACATTGCAACATCTCAGGCTGGAAAATAAACATCTTTGTCATGTTTTCCCCTCTCGCCAGGGCCTGTCCAGCCCAATGCTGCGCTGCCCATCCCAGCGTCTCCTGGACAGGATAGTGCGGCGCTATGCTGAGGTGCCTGACGCTGGCAGCATCTACATGGACCACCTCACTGACCGGGACAAACTGCGCCTGTTGTACACCCTGTCAGTGAATTCACACCCCATCTTGTTACAGGTATGGACCACCACCTTGCCCCGGCTTGAAACACCACCCCACAGCCCCCTGCAAGCAAACCCTCACATGAGATGTGCACCAGCCCTCAGCTGCAGAGGAGTCCCAGCCCTGGCCTTTGGCAAGCTCCCTAGCTTTCACAGAGCGTGTTTCTTCTGTGGGGTTGGATGGCTGAAGCCAGGCAAACTCCTGCAGTGCTCCTTGCGTGAGCCTGTGGAGCTGTGGAGAGATACAAATTCCCAGCTCCTTAAATAAACCAGAACCCAGACGGGTTATTGCAGTAGCGCACTGTGAAAGCCAGGGTTTTACACGTCCCCGACGTTTCACAGTGTTGTGTTTGCCTTGCTAATATATCACTTAAAATCACAGCCTGTTTATAAAAGAGAAAGAGCACTCTAGCGTGGGAGGACCAAGACACAGTGTTGAGGTTGAACATGGACTTGGAGAGCACTGATTACCCAGGCTTCATGTGCCAGCGCTGTTTTTTCCATTTGCATGCCATTGTTAACTAGCTCTGAAGCAAAGTGCAGCTTAGCAGATGTGTTTGGTGGCATCTCAGATACAGCTGAGCTCTGAGTGCGAAGGCAGAGAGGTGGGAGGCTTCGCACAGCTCCCCTGGTCCCCTGCTGACATGCTTGGCATGTAGCTCCTCTCTTTCCTTACACGTCTCCTAGGGAATATCCTCACCCTTCCCTACCACTGCCCCACCTTTAGTCCTAATTGTTGTCTCCTGCAACCCTTTGAAGGGAGGCAGTGGCAGCATCTGTCTTCTGCCCCAGGCCACCTCTGCCCTCAGCAGTGCACAGGGGAATGGTGCTTATGCTCTGGGAGTCTCACAGGGGTCATAAGCCACCCTGGTCATGGCTCGCTGGGCCATGAGGCTGCAGCTCTCAGCACTTTAAAGTGCTGAGTACCATAAAGATACGGTCATGCAGCTTGAAGAGGTGAGAAAAATATGACCAAGAGAAATGGACTGATTTTACGTGGGTGCCCAAAACACCTTCACAGCAGAAGGGAGAAGCAACCCTAAACATGAAACTGGATGAGTTCATGTTCATAACTCTGCCTGGGCAGGGTCTGGGGCGCAGGGGAGACAGACAAGTTACCATGTAAATGGCAGAAGGTTTTGTGCTGGCATGGCTCAGCAGTCGTGCAGCCTGGTTTGCCCCTGGGATAACTGCCCTGCTAGCGCGAGCTGCAGCGATGCAGGCAGCCCAGCCCAGGTGTCCTCACTGTAGCACACCCAGCACTTCTGTCCCTGAGACTGCAAAGTCTCTTACCAAATGGCCAGGCAGTTCTTACAAGTTAGTGAAAACTGCTTTAGCCCCATCTCACCTCCAAGCTGTGACTTCAGCTATGCAGTGCTCATGAGGGACCCATCAAAGGCTCCATAAAGACACCTAAAATTAGCTCCTCTATACCTAAAATTTTAATGAATTTGAAATCTATTATTATCTTGGACTTTCCAGTTAGTCTCCCCTATGAAATTGGTCTTGAAATACCAGATTCTTCTTTCTTCATTAAGAAATGGGGGTAGGAGTAAAAAGCAGCATAGCTACTCGTGGACAGAGCAGAGCCTTCCCCAGCTGCTGGGGCAGGCTGGGGTGAGGAAGGGTGGCAGGCTGCTTTAGAAAGCAAAACATGATGCTGGTGCTGGTGCTGCTGCTTGAAGCCAGGCAGGGCAATTGAAGGTCTCCTGGAAAGGAGAGGAGGTGGGTCCGTGGGCAGAGGGCAGCAGCCAGAGAGCAGGGACAATCCCCTTCTTCCTGCTCTCCCCGACAGATCTTCCCCGACGTGGAGGGATGGCCCTTCCCGCGGTACCTGGGCTCCTGCGGGCGGCTGGTGGTCAGCGCCAGCACCCGGCCCCTGCGCGACTTCTACGGCGCAGCCCCCGAGGTGGCCGCAGACCTGGCCCTCCAGCTCCTCGCCGTCCTCCGCTCCATGGGCACCAACGACCTCAACTATTTCTTCTACTTCACCCACGTGGACGCTGGCACCTTCGGCGTATTTAGCAACGGGCATCTGTTCATCCGGGATGCCAGCACGCTGGGGATCATCGACAAGGAGGAAGGTACTCAGCAGGCTCTGTGGCTGCGCATCTGTCGCAGGAGAGCTTAGTGAGATGGGGGAGACAAATCTTTCACCCGCTACGCTCGGCTCAACAAAACATCACTGGCTAAATTAAATAACGAAGGGTTCACGGGGAGATTTACCGACAGCAAAAGCTCCTGCCGTCCTGGCTTCGAGTCAGGAAGGCAACAGCCGTTTTGTTTGTGCAGTCAGTGGTTTGGGGACCGAGCGACTGTGGGAGCTTACGTCCTGCCCAGCCCCCTCTGTGGCTGGCAGGAGCCCGCAGCGGGCATGGGGCCAGCGCGCATGGTGCTGAACGCTCTCATTTGAAATCTTCCTAAAGCACCTCTTTTAAAACTTTTGCCACACAAATGCCAGTATTTGCAAGTAGAAATTTCATCACTTCATTTAAATATTGGGTCAAAACAGGCTCTTTTTAGGTGCATTTATCACAGTGACTAATCATCGTTATTATTATAGGAATAAAATCCCCCTTTTGTCATTTTTACATAAAACCAAGGGCTGCTATTCACTTTTCACAGGTTACCATGGTCTACTCCTGGAAGCAGAGCTAATCAAAGACTATTCCTCCAATAATTTAACAATTTCATTTTGAATGTTCAGATTTTCAAAAGGCCTTTGCTCAGCTCACACGTTCAGCTGAGTAGAACTCAAATATTCAGAAGCAGCTGTCAGAGAATTTTCCACTGGGTTTCTTTTTCTTGTCCCAACAGCGATTACTGTTGACTTGACTCCAGCGAGATGAGCTGTTGTTGCAATTTAATGATTTGGGTAACAGGGAAAAATTAGGGGTTTGACTATTTGTGGTAGTTCTTGTAGGAACTCCATGTTTTATGTTAGTACTGCAGTTCTTTCTCATTTTTTCTGCATCAGTTTGACTCAACACACTCCAATTCCTCTGTCAGGCGGTTCTGCAGAGCTCTGTCATTCAGAAAAATGTATCTATTTCAGGAGTGAGAAAATTGGCCCATAGACAGCTACAGTGCGGAGTACGTTGCGGTGAAAGACAGCAGTATCCTTTAGATAGTAACAAACCTACGTTAATACAGAGGTACAGACATATGTGATTATCCAAGATTTTGCTTCTGTGCTTCTAACAACTGGTTTAATTGTCTCTAATAGGGAGCCAGCTGATTGACAGCCAACAGGAGTATAAGGATATATTTAGCTGCTTGACTGTGGACTGCCAGTCTGCATTTGTGTCCTGTAACTCCATCAGAGAGAAGCACAGCCTCATCATGGTGTGTCAAGAGCTTTTGCCTAAGCTGCTGAAGGGGAAATTCCTGCAACCTGTGCAGGAGAAGATAGACAGCTTCCTGCAGCACTGTGCCGATGGCCTCGCCGATGACCAGGGTGTCGACGAGGCAGTTGCAAAGCTGGCAGAGCTCCTGAAACCTCTACGGTCTTGCGATTCCCGTTTTGCCTACCGCTACCCTGACTGCAAATACAGCGACAAATACTGACGGCTTCAGAGGAGACAGAGAAGTACCTTGTGAAGGACTGGGGCAGCGTCAGCCCCCTGCCAGCATGAGAAGCAAGAAGGAACCAGGGTAGCTGAAAAGAGCTGCACCAAATCCGAAGCTCCCTCATCAAGGTGGAGGAGGAGGGAGCAGAGTGCACATGGGATTTATTGTTCATCTCCCAGGGATGCGTTTGTTACAAGGGATGTTAGACATGATGTAAAGCTTATGGATTATTAGTATTATCATGAGTGGCAGGGGCTGCAGGATTAATAAATCTTGTTTGTGTATTTTGGCCTTGGAAGAGTTTTCCATGCCATTCATTAAAAAGAAACCGTCTGAAGGCAGCGCACTCACAACTAGCTAGATAGAGGAGTTTTATTACCAAGAAAGTCTTTCTGATCAAGATGATATATACAGAATGTGGGGTGGATGGAAGAATTTAAGACTTTCCTTGTCGGGATTTTAAAATCATAGATAAACTCAACCACTGGATCAGTTCCATACCATCACCCATCACAGATCACCTTTATAAAATATTTACATTTTACTACTTTTCTGGCACACAGAACAGAAAGACAAAATCAACAGCATGAAAAAGCTGAAAGGCCCCATGTAAACAGCTCTGGGATGTAGCAGTCCAGCACTTTCACACTTTTCTCTCTAAAGAAAACTAAAGGAACCATTTGCACAAAACCACTTACATGTGAAAATTACCTTAAGAGGAGAAAAAACACAGGCAGAGGATGAGAGATTAGTTTAACCTGAGCCTGATGAGACTTGCTGAACAGTCAATACTCCAGTCCTGACCAGCAAAGAGGTACAGCCATCCTCAGCTGTTTGCCTTTCAAAGAAGGAATCAGTAAACCAGTCCCCAAAGGAGTGGCTCAGACACCTAAAATTTAGGGTGGTAGACTCTGTTTTCACAGCAGTGGCCAACCCAGGGCTAGACGCAGGTGCCTCATTTTTGGGGGGAAGGTTGCAAAAGTTGCAGAGTTGCAAACCCCGGCTTTCTCACCCAGCTTCTGTCAGTCCTCATCCCATGTGCTCCCTGTGGGCCATCAGAGGCCCGCACCAAACCTTCCCTGATGTCTAGGGGACTGCCAGACCTCACCTGGGTTTGAGGCTTTCTCCTGGGACCCAGGTGTGCAGGAATCACCAAGCACATTTGACTGAGATGAGTCAGAAACTAGACTTTCTGGATCCCCCATAGGTATTTTCATCGCAGAAACAGGCTTCCTTTAGCCACGGTTCAAAAAAGAAATCAGTAACAGCAGAAAAGCAGAAGAAGATGTGAGTGCATTTGCATTGCTGATCGTTGTACAGAGCTACTGGGAGCAGGAAGGCAAGATTTTGTTGTGTTGGCTGCGGAGGGGCTCTGGGTCTGCAGAGCACCTAGCCTGGGGTTCAAGGCAGGTGTTGCAGACAGGTTAGAACTACACACAGGAATGACACTGGGAAAATCTAACCCAGGACATGTATTTTGCCTTTCCTCCTGGTATAAAGTATCAAGTGCACCTTTCACCTCTCAAGAAGTAGAAACATTGAAAATAATTTGTAGGTAAATTTAGCTCCAGGCCCAGATGGTCTGACAGCAAAAATGTTTAAATATACAGCCTAAGCTAGGGCTGCAGCCCTCTTTCTTGGTTTCAGTCTATTTCTGCGTCATGGCTCTCTTCCAGTAAGAAAAACATGTCCTTCACTGAGATCCATAAGGCTGACTAACAATCTGTTTGCAACAGTTTTTCTCAAATCTGTCTGCATCTCTGATCTCTCTGTGATTTTTACCTGATAGCTGGGTGTTACCCCTGGGCCCCTTTCCCTCCAGCAATTCCCCCCCCATGGTGCTGGCTGCCTCGCACGGGGCTGGAGGGGCTCCCACTTCACCACCACTTTCTCTAGGGTCAGCAGTGAGGTGCTGCCCACCATGGGCTGCGAGCTGCCAGCATCCTCTCAGTGCTGGAGGGCAGCCTTCTTCATGCAGTCCTAACTACATGCACACCACAGAATGCCCAGAAAGTGCTAAGATGAAGAAAATAGCCTGGTCCACCCATGCCCCAGCAGAGGTGATTTGCAAGCCATGGGTCTGCAGAGGTGTCTTTGCAGCTGCTCTGTGGCTGGGGCTGGCCTCTGATTCAGTGCCCTCTGGTTTAACAGTGGCTTGAAGGAGAAGCCCTTGCAATAGAGCTCCACACTGGGTTCACTCCTGGGTTCTGCCCTGTGTTCTGGGCATTTTTATTTTCACCACACACATTTTCCTTTTGGAAATGAGCTGTTCATCTACTGCATGGCTCTGCAGAATGTCTTCTGGGCAGCAGCGCACCTCTGCTACCAAACCAGCCCAGGGAAACGCCGAGCAGATGCAGGTGCTCAGCACTTTAGAAAAAGGTGGGAGCAAGCCCAGATCTCTCAGGTCTAGTCCAGCATTGGGCAAAAGGACTGAGACACGTCACATGGGCTTTGGTTGGGCCTGGACAACTCGTAATGCTAAAATGCTGGGTGTAAGAAACAGAAGAGTCGTGGTGCTACTTTGCTGCTTGGACTCAGTTGACAAGACTGCAGCAGAAGTCTTGAGGCACGTGGCATCCATTTCTACATGGCTTGATTCAAAGTTGTTAAAGCTGAGAAGAGTCTCCCCACTGCTTTCAATAGACTTTGATATGAATTTAAATTTAAAAAAAATATATAAAAAATAACAGAATCATGGATTTAAAAATTATGAAAGCAATGGGAGCTGTGTTCACCACCAGTTTCTCTTCAGACATTGTTTGCAAAGGCCAGGCTCATGCAAGACTGTGACTAATATGCCAGCCATTAAATCAGTCCATGGCTCGAAGAACAATAATTTTCCTAAACTAAATCTCATTTCCCTATATTTCCCTGGCCTTTTATTTTTCATTGCCAATTTTTTCTCTTAATATTTTCCTTTTTTCTTGGCAGTCAGGCCCTGGAATCAGTGCCCACCCTGTCTGCCAGCTCCAGTCAAGCCTTGAAATGCTAGTAGGCCAAGCTCCAAAAGGATGTGAAATTAATTTATAAATGGCAATTATTTTAAACCTAATCCTTCCCAAAAGTACTCTCGAGTAATTTTTTCCTCTCTGTGTTTGAGTTATTTCTGATGGTGGCTTTGTGTGAGCCTTTGCAAACTCTTCCTGGTAACAACTTAAACTGTTTCTGCAGCAGGACAGGGATGGCAGGAGAAACCTTCCACCAGTCTCACAGTCGGCCTCAGCCCTTCCTTTACGTGTGGGTAGTTTGCAGCTGCCTTCATGTCCAGTTGTTTATTGGGTGTCTCTCTTAGTGCTCCATATCCTACAGCTTTTTAAAGTTTCCATGTCAAGAGGTTTGTAGCACTGTGTTTTCTGCCATATTTGGTCTATATTTTTTAACACTGTCATTTCTCAGGGGCCGGGGGCTGCGTATGGGCAGCCCATAGCAAGCGACAGTCCCAGTTTCACCCAGCACAATTCACTGCTCTTCCATGTCCCACCTTCAGCGTCACCTTCACACGTGTCTGTGGTGCTCACACCGCTGCCCCCTGCCCCACACAGCCCCTTGGGAAGGAACAGCAGCCAATGGTGGCATTAAACTGTATTTTCCACGCACTCCTCCCACCAAAGAGAGAGCACCCTGTCAGCATTGGCTGAAACAGGTCCTCATCACAGGAACTGATCCCTTCCATGAGCAACGTGCCCGGTGCATGTCCACTCTGCACCCTCATTCAGCCACCCTCTTACTCAGACATGGCTGATGCGCGGAGGAAAGGGCACCAAGACAGAACCTCTGTGCTCCCAAATGTCACAGGTACGTCTGTGTCCCTTGAGTCTGGGCTGTCCTGGCATCTCCCAGTACCTCCTGGCCAGTGCCCTTGGATGCTGCATGTCCAAAGGGAAAGGGGCGTGCTGTGCATTGCTGGGAAAACCCACGCAAGCATTTGACGTCAAAGTGTCTGGTAACACCCAGAGCACCTCAAAACGTTCTAGCAAGGGCACTTTCATTACAACTGGTCCTGTTGTGGGGTTGGAGGTCCAGGTTTCCCACTCCATAGCTTTTGTGGGTGATAATTTCTTGCCCCACTTTGCATCACCCCCGCTTCCAGCTTTCTACAAGGGGCAACCCAGCAAACACCATGGCATTTTGGAGAACTTAGGATCAGCACTCGCCAGGTCCTGTCCACAGGAGCAGCCAGACAAGTACATTTCATGCAAGGGTCTTTCAGGAAGCCCAGCAACAGCAGTTGCTTGCAGGAGCTTTTCATCTGCCTACTGGTTTTCTGAGACTTTAGGATGCACTTGGGTCCCGTTTGCCAATTACTCTTTACAGCCAGGTGCTCTAGATACTTTATTGCTAATTCTTCCTAAGTGAAACCTCAGCTTCTCCCATTATCACATGACTCTGGAAAGTAGAGCTTTAACAAAAATATTGAATGTCAATAAGATGTTGCAAAATCACAAGAGCCAGCACCACGGTATTCTGAATAGGTTCACCGAGACATATTAATTTGATTAATAGGTGAGTCTAGCTGCTACTGTATCCTCTGTTTCTCTAACTCAGTGCTGAAAGGAGCTTGATAGCCATCCTGAAATTAAAAACAAACAAATATGAACTTCAGGGAAAAGAAAATTAAATGGAAACAGCTACTCATGGAAAGGCTGTTGGGAGGTTGGAGGAGGCAGGCACAGTTTCTTCCTTATGGATTAGAAAAAATTACTAGACTCATCTGCTCTCCTCTGCATGGGGATGGTCTCAGATGGAGGGTGCTGGTGAGTTTTAAGCAGTGCTCCTCAAGGAAGACTTGAACAACTGACAGGTGTTTGAAGAACAAGAATACACCAACCTTTTCCTTGGGGAAATGAAGCTGTAAGAGAACATGTTTGTCAGGTTTTACAATCGCACAGTACTACTGAGCAAGGATGCGCGTAGCTACAACCCTCGCCTGACACAGTTCACTCGCTGCACTGCATGGAGAGGCAGCTTTTTAGACTAACACCCACGGAAGTGTCAGGTAAGGTTCAGCATCTTATTTCTTTTAAAAGGACCTTGTCAGTCATGCTGGATTTTTTTTTTTTCCTTTCAAAATTTGAACATTAATTTGGATAAAGACTTATCAAACTAATTCCTCTCATGATGCTTTAAAATAGTGGGGTTTTTCTTGCTCTGAAAAAATAATCTAGATGGTAGGAATAATCGAGACTTTTCAGAGGAATGAAAACCGCTC